AATTTTTTATAATAATAAGACTAGCCGATATCAATCTTCGTAACTTTCTTCGACAAAAATGCGGTGATACAAGCATAACTCAAAAACTTAAAATATTGCATGATATTGCCGACGGCTTAGCAGGCATCCATAATAATGGATTTGTGCATCGTAATCTACACCCTGGAAATGTAGTTGCCGATATAGATACTTGGCAAATAGCTGATGTCGGGTTAATTGGTCCATGCGATCGACAACCTGGCTCTCAAATAATAGGGGTCTTACCATATCTTGCACCGGAAGTGCTTCTCTATGGTCAATATTCAGAACAAGCAGATATATATAGTTTAGCGATGATAATATACGAAATGATGATGGGCCAAATGCCATTTTGGGATCAAGCTCATGATGCAAAACTGGCTGAAGAAATTTGTAAAGGTTTGAGGCCTGAGATACATAAATCAGTTCCTCAAAAAATGGCAGAATTTTTAAGACTTTGTTGGCATGAAGATCCAAAGAAACGACCTACCGCTGAAAAATGCAAAGAATTATTTGCGGGTTGGACCATCCATAAAATAATGTATGATTTCAAATTGAATAATGGAGAGACATATTCACAAAAGCACCCACAAGCCGTATATACAAGTCGGCATTTTCATTTTGAGAATCTTGTTGGTATTAATAAGAATAATCCTAATTTGAGAGTCAATAATAAACAAAGCTTAAGTGGAAACCTTGGTAATGGAAATGTAATTGAGCATTCTTTGCAACTTTCTTTTTCCGGAGACAGTCCAATTGATGGTAGGTAATAATTTATGAATTTTTTGTCTTTAACAAATAAATTTATTAACTGATAGATTATTATTCAGTATTAGCATTCGAAACAGTTACAGATTTAGAGGCATATGCACCTGATATAAATACGATTAATGAAGAAGATGTCAAAAAATCAGAGGACTGCAAGTGGTTTTTTTTTTGATCAATGATTAAATATTGGATGATTCTTCTAATTTTTATTGTATATGTACATAGTGTTAATATTTAGCAAAGAAACCACAACCGACACTACTTTTCAAAGTTATGATTTAGGTAAATGCCCTGGTTGCACTACCAAATACAAAGAAGAACGATGGTGTCGATTATGTACACAGAAAAATCTTGAGATTGAATTCAAACAATGGACGAGTGAAAATCCATTGATCGATGAATGTATACGAAATGCCCAATTATCTGCAACCAGTGCTAACCAATTGATTGAATGGATACCATACGAAAAGTTTAGTAAAATAATCAAAATTGGTCATGGATGCGCCGGTGAAGTTTACTCTGTTCAATATTTAGAAGGATTTAAGGTCGGATGGAACGCGAATGGAAATACATGGGATAAATTAATTGAGCCCGATGGAAAATTTGCTTTAAAAACCATACCAAATTCCGTTTATATAACAGAAGATTGGCTAAAGGAGGTATAAAATGAATTATTATCGCTATATTTTTTTCGTCGTCGATAACGGGACAATCTTATTTTTAATATATATGGAAATATTTCAAGGTGATCAGTGGAATTACAAGTAATATACCGGAAATGATAAATTATTACGGAATCACACGAAATCCCGACAATGGAAATTTAATGGTTGTAATGAAATATGCGCAAGACGGAAACCTACGTGATTATTTACGTAAAAATTTTGAAGAAATGACCTGGGAAGATAAATTCGATATGCTCCAACGAATAGCTAATGGTCTTGCTAGGATGCATAATATGGGGTTTATTCACCGTGATTTACACACAGGAAATATTCTTCGCTCGAAATCAAGTACATTTATTGCAGATTTAGGATTGCATTATTCTGTTGAACAGAATATTTACGGGGTACTTCCATACGTTGCACCCGAATTATTGCTCGGGAAACCATATACAACAGCAACAGACATCTATAGTTTTGCAATGATCATGTGGGAAATAGCTTCCGGCGAAATACCATTTGGAAATAAAGCACATGATGCATCATTGGCTTTACAAATATGCAAGGGACATCGACCTACTATTGTTGAAGAATGCCCTGAGAAATTCACGGAATTAATGAAACGATGTTGGAATACTGATCCTTCACAGCGACCAACAGCTGTACAATGCTACGATTCATTAAAAGATATTGCAGAAGAACAATGGAAAACGTCAAGAAATCCTTCAGTCGTTTCATTACCAGGTAGATTGAATAGCTCTGGACCGATGACGCCTACTGAAAATTCTACCTTTATATTAAGTCATTCCGTGAATTTGAGTCTTTCACTGCCATCTGTTCATACAAAAGCTCGACCATATGCTCAATATCAACATACAGCAGCTATTTATGAAAGTAGAAAATTATATTTTCCGGATGTAATGGAAGAAAAGGAAAAATTTGGTAGTTAACAAGTTTTTAAAATTTCTTTTGAAATTATTATGATCTAATTTTATTATTACTTTCTAGAATATTCGACTGCCCAACTAGAGGGAAAAAGACTTTCTATAAGACCGAAGTCGGTTCAACGTCAATTTGAAATACCTTCATATAAACCTCCTACGCCTAAATTATCCGAAATTTCATCAACAAAACCTGAAATCAATCCATTCTCTTCCCAGCAAGATCTCGCTCAACAACAACAACAACAACAACAGCAACAACAGCAACAACCACCTGCTACCCAAATTCTTAAACAACGCGAATTCACTACATTCTCTAATACAAGTTTTCCTGATAGTGAAACCACAAAATATTCCCGTAATACCGATAGTCCCGATATATTATCGATAAATTCATTGGAATTCGATGTCGGCGCCACTAAAATTGATCCGACTGAATCCTTAACAATGAGACATCATATGCGTCGTATCTCAAATGTTAAAATGGGTGAATTGGAGCCGATGTCTCCAATGGTTGATATAAATATCGATTCACCAATTATGGAGAAGAATGAGCTGTTTGGCACGCAAGTTAAAGATGCGGAAAGAACAGAATATTCATTATATGAAGAAAAAGAGAATAATGAAAAAATAGGAGAGATACAGCAACCAAAGAAATCAAAAAACAAAGATAAAAAGAAGAAAAATCAAAAAGAGAATGATGAAGGATTTGGCACATTTTGGGGTTCGACGAGACATAGAAGTAATAGCGATAGTATTGGTAAGATTCAGGAAAAAACATTACGAAATTTTGTATATATTTAATTAGTTTTTATCTACTTTGGACAGCTATGGATTATTTTACGAGATTGCGCATGCATAACGATTTATCAGAAAATGGCAAGTACAATCTTTTTTGAAACAAATTAAAAAAAATTTTGCTTACAAAATAATTTTTTTCTGAATAAATAGATTCGCAAGCTTTACCATCACATGACCAGATCCTTGCATTTTTTTCAAATTCAATAAAAATACAGCAAAGTGATGTTGAGAGTACAAATGAAGATCAAATTAAAGAATCTGGTAACAAACAAAAATTTAAATTGCACGCTTTTTTTATTAGAATTAATCTTTCAATGTTCTGTTTAAGACTTTAAGAAACGACCAAAACTACGTAGATATTCTTCTTTAAGTACCTTGTCAGGTGAAGAATTAGGTAAGAACAACGAAAAATTTACAAAAACGAACAAATTCTAACAAAAGATCATTATTTAATAGATACAAAAAGAAAACGTGATATGGAAAGGGGTCCATTCACATCAAATCTCGCTGAAACTATGGAAGAAGATGAAGGTAAATACAAGAACAAAAGAAATATTTTACCTTTTTTTTTTTTTTTTTTTTTACTAACGATGCAAATAATCCAGTATTACAAGAACGTCGAAGACAACTATTTGGCAATTGCGGTACATGTAATAACCCTAATACCGATTTTGATTTTTGCCACGATTGCCGAATGTTAGATGATATTTTATTGTTTTACGAATCGGTTAGTGACGATGAAGATGAAAAAGAAAAAGCAATTAATTTATTTTAGAATTATTGTTTTTTGGATCTTTAGAATAAATATCCTTCTCATAATCGATTGCGAAATATCAAATTTTCATTAAAGATTAGTTAATTAGATACTTGCTGAAAAAATTTTTAACATAGAAAAATACTTTAAGCAATAGGATTTCGTCATAAATAAACTAATTTTACTAAGGCTGGGTTTGGGTAACAGATTTTAATATTTAGATATAGATTTAATGCTAATAATAGAATCTTTTTTTTTACAATTTATCATTATTTCAAGAAACTTAATGAAGTTATGCTAATTTATCATTATATACCGAATATTTATCAGGCACTCAAATAAATGAAATGATGTAAAATTGATCGAAAAGTTTATTTATAGCCGAAAAATAAATATAAATAATACTTTTTTAATTCAAACTCGAATAAATGCATCGTCTGCACGGTATGGGAAGAAAAAAACATAAAAATAAATCAAACAGTTCATCAAACACAAATATTTCCAAGTCAAATGTTAATAAAGAAATCGCCATTACTCAAACTCAAGATGATACTCAAAAATTGAATTCTTCATTTTCGGTTGCGACTATGGAAGAAATCAATGTGATACCCGAAAGTAAGGAGAAATCCGACTCTGAAAATAAATCTAATTTAGAAAATATTTGCGAAACAGCATCAGATATTACTCGAAACGTTACAGTAATTGACAAAGACTTGGACGGTTCGCAATCCGATCAAATATCCAATAAAGATACGATTGATGTTCCTACAAGTGACTATAACGATGAAAGGAATTCCATTTATGTTCCTACCAGTGATTACAACAACGAAATGGATTCTATCTCTATGCCAGCCGACGACGAGATTTCACGATTGGATTTCTACAGAAAAAAAGAAAATTTGTCAAATTTAAGTTCGACAGCAAACCAAATCGATGGCTTTATCAAAAATAATTTCATAGAAAACGACAGCACTACGCCGCCGCCAAATATATCAAATAATAAAATATATAATGACATCCCTGTTCATGTTAAATTTGCTACGAATGGAATGTCAGTTCACAGGGAATCGAGTTACGAATTTGACGATTCTGTACTAAATCAATTAGAGCACGATGATTTTGACGAAGGGCTTCGTTCACTTCCTTGCTTCGATGCATACCTTCCATTCACCGAATATATAAGTAAAAAGAATGAAAAGAAAAGTTTCAATACAAAAACGAATATGAATAATCGAGTTAAAGCAGATATGCCTGGTGAGTAGTTCACTAAAACGTTCTTAATTTAATTCTATTTTTTAAAATTTAACATAAATTTTAGGCAAAATTGATAAAAAACACAAAAATGCTCAAAAAAATAAAACCGATAAGAGAAAACAAAATGTTACCTATAAATCTTCAACTTTCATCACAACTACGTCCACTGCACAATCTACGAAAACTTCTAAATTTCCAATCGAATTAGAAGCAATTTCTCCGAATCTGCTTGCAACTCGACCATTTTTACTTTATAATGTGGCATACTATTTTGATAACCTAGTAGAGAGAATAAGTGTTAATATGGAGAGATATATTGATCGCTCTATTGGATTACCAATTGGTAGATTGATTTTGTATTGGTTTACTTTCGTAAGTTGGTATGGAATCAAAAAATGATAACAATTCGAGTATATAGCTATAATTTATTATGATTATATTTGTACTTCTATTTTTCTATATAAATTACAGTATATTATTATTTCTTCATTAATGAATGAATGAATTAACTAAGAGTTAGAAAAAATGCAGTATAGTTATATTTAAAAATGGTTCATTATCGTTATCTCAAAGGTAATTTTCTTTGAATTATATTGTGATTTGAACACAACTTTATAATTTTCAAATCGTTAAAAATTTATTTTCTTATAAACGCATCGCAATGGTCTATTGATCCTGAATTCACATTCAAAATACGTTTCAATAGTACATATACATGTATTTAAAAAATTTGAATAACCAATGATAATATAATTGACTTCTTTTATATTCAAGTGACCAAAAATTTACTATATCAAGATTTATTTGAATCTATTAAGAAAGAGAGGATTTTGTTATGTATGGTTTTGAACTCAAATTCACTATAAAGAGAGTTTAATTAGTCTTTAGATAACGATAAAGGAAAATGTAATAAGTCAACTTTTGTATTAAGTGCGCTAAAATCGCTACTTTATGTTGAACATGATCTACTGTATTAAATAGCGACGGCGTTTTGATAATTTTGTCTCTAGGAGCTCAACATGAGTTTTTTACAGAAACTAATAGGATATTATGTGGTGAGTACATATATTGAATATCTGGCGAAAAAAATATTAGAAGTTTTTTTTGGATTGTCATTGTTATAATATAGTCGCCGCTTTGGCAAAGCAAACTGGGCGATTAGTGGTGTGGCTATAAATGATGGTGACTATAGAGATGGGCTAAAAATCTGAATTATTATAATAAGAGAGATGTATTATGCGCATAGTTACTAACGTAAATGCCCATACACAATTATGCATATGGTTAAGTTCATAAATCATCACCAATTAAGGCATTTGTACTCAATAAA